CTGATTATGGACCTCTACAAACTGTGAACCAAAATAAACCTTTCCTCCTTTGAGTGTGAGGTATTTTTTCTCAGCAATGAGAAGAGTAACTAAGGCACTGTTCTCTTCCTAGCAGACATGAACCTGAAATGTAAAGAATCTGAGAAAAGAAACAAATGCAAACTAGCAACAAAACTAATCTTTACATATATGCACTGTAGTAATCATATGCCAACATGTCTTTTGCCTACTGGTGTATATGCAGAATACTAATATATGTACATTTATGTTCAGTATTTATATAATTTTTACCTGTTACATGTTTGAAGTTGACTATGAGGCAAGTTTAGGTTTGGCAAATTTGGATTTTTTAACAGCACAATTGCAAATCATTGACATGCTTTTTTTTTTTTTTTTTTTTTTTTTTTTTTGGTTTTTCTCTGGTACCGGGAACCGAACTCACGACCTTGCGCTTGCCAGGCAGGCACTTTTGCCACTGAGCTAAATCCCCAGCCCCCACTGACATGCTTTTTTAAAAAAATTCTGGGAAAATAAAACTAGAATCTGAGTAAATCTAGATGTTGAAAGAGTCACTATTCTGGATATCTCAAAGTATCTTACTCCTAAAGCTAGTTAATATCAACCTACAAAACAATAGTCTTTTCAAATTTTAATGTGTATATAAACCACTGGAAAACCTTGCTAAACTGAAGATTCATTCAGTGGACGAGTAACAGGGTCCAAGAATATGTATTTCTAACCAGTTCACAGACTGTACTGAAAAAATAGTATCAACACTCTTCAGTTTGCAAGGCAGTAAATAATAGCTACAACAGTGGAACATCCAAAAATCTCCTCTGATATCTGCATTTTTTTATTCATTTGCCAGAGATAAAGATGTCATTGAATAAATATGTCATGATAACTATCTGTAGCTCCTGCCTCCCTGTAGCAAAGCAATAGTTTCAGAAAAAGTAAAAAGAAGCTCAGATTTGCATGTGTGCTGTTATTGTTCTTTAATATTCATATCTACTAATATATTTTTTATTAATTCATAGAGTTTTTGTTAATATCAACAGAAATAAACTTACAATTAAGTCACTAGGCCCTAGAGACATAAAGGAAACTTGTACCTCCTATTATAATGGTGCTGTATAACTTATTTTTATTTCATATAATTCCAACAAACTATTTGAAAAACAGAAAATATAAGGTGGAGGGAAGTTCATCAGTGGGGCTACGAGCTGAGTGCATCACGTCACTCTGTAGCACGTCCCCCGGGAAGGTCTGAGACTAGGGCCAAGTGTGGCCCTGACAGAGCCCTCCCTGAGTGTGGGGAGTGAATTCTCAGAGAGCGGGGAGCCGCGTGAGGGCAGACTGGGCAGGTGAAAAACACGAAATAAAATGGGGAAAAAAATGAATGTGGAAATGAGAATGAAGTGACATAACATAGACGATAACGTAAGACAAAACAAAATATCTACACTGCAAACTGCACACATGTATGAAATCATATTTCCCGTAGTAAATATGTACAGGTCTTACATGTCAGTTAATTAACAGGTATCATGTGTCAATTGTTTCAAATAAGCTCTTGTGCTAATGTTACTAGTGAGTCACATTTAGTTTTGAGGCTGAGCTTTCTAGGAATCATATTTGAGGAGAAAATGTAATCAGACGCAAAGTTCTCAAGCGGTTTCCTTATAGAGTTTTCTAGTGAACTGACAAAGGTTTGTTCGGTGCAGGTTCATTAAGAAGACTGTAAAATGCCACTTTGAAGATATCAATATGTAATACAACCACCATTGTTAATTCCCTACCACTTTGTTTGTAACTCTGTATTGTCTGTATTGTGCTTGTGATATGTTGTAAAATGTTGTATGTCTGTTAATGTTTCCCTCCTTTTATCTTTAAAATAAAAAAAAGAAGACTGTAAAATAACAGAAAAGAATGATCTCTTCACAATTTCTTCAAAGAACACTATTACTAATAAATATAAAAAACAAACAATCCTATTAAAGGATTACAAGTTGAGAAAACAAAATTTATCACGTTAGCCAAAAGTTTTGTCACAATGAAAGTCAAAATATTGAATCTTGATTTTAGTTAGGATGTATAGTACTTTAGTATATTATACAAACATAATAAGATGAGCTAGGATATATTTTTCCTATATTGTATTTAATTATTTGCAATAATCACTGATTGTTGAATGTAAAGGAACATATCATTTGCATTATCATTTTAGTAGAGAATTAAGAAACAAAAATTTTACACTGAAAAGGATTTCACATGGCATAGCATGGAACAGCATTACTAAAAATGTTGCTGTGGATGAAAAGCTGAGCATAAAGAACATCAGTACAGGGGCCAGGGATATAGCTCAGTGGCATAGCAGCTGCCTGGCAAGCACGAGGTCTTGAGTTTGATTCCCAGTTCCCCCGCCCAAAAAAGAAGAATAGTACGAAAGGGTATCACACATTAGAATATGTTGCTAGGATATCCCTGTAGAGTTTCAACAATGAAAGCTTTAAGTTACTACCTTAGATGTTTTCAAGTATTAGTGTCACTGTCATAAAAATATTTTATGACAATGGAATGGAATTTTTCCATTTTCATAAATGCCTTTTTAATCTTTTTATAAAATTAATTATCTATGTACCACTCTGTGGTTTTCTAGTTTGTGAGGTAAAATGATGCTATGGTTAGTACTAAAATGCCCTCTCAAAGTCTCATGTTCAGCAAGGGGTCCTGGTTGTAGGTGGTTATTGTTGGTCTGACCTGAAAGGGTGTACTCTTGTCCCCATAGCCTCCCTTCTTTTTATGCTTCCTGTCCTCCATCATGTGAGCAGCTCTCCCCCACCGTGCCACTCTGCCATTCAGTTTCTGCCTTGGAGTCTTCTGACAATGGACTGAACACAGTGAGGCCGTAAGCCAAGTAAACCTCTCCTTCTAAAAGTTGTAGGCGTCAAGTATTCTATATTAGTGATAGAAAACTAACTATCACAGTCTTGTTTGTGATAGAAAGCCTTGGACAAGTTTAACTGTGCTCCATCTTCAACATGGTCTTTTTCTCTAGTATCTTTACCTAAATATTAGAACTTCTAGTTTCAGAAGATGCATTGTGTAGCACATGTCTCTTGAAGAGAGATGATACAAAATAAAAGGACGATTCAGATATTTGCTCTTTCTAAAGCATTTACTCTTGTTTATTGACAGGAATTGAGATGGCTCAAATGAATAATACCAAACAAAAATGAAGAAGATGCAAAATAAATATTATAGCCATAAAATCATATATTTTATCTGATTAAATATCCAATTTAATGCTCAGGTTCTTAAAAATCTTGAACAAAAAAGACACTTACAGAGTGGTTGTCCTCATTAACTGGAATTAGAAAACATAGAAATTGCTGATAGGAATATCTAATACTTCATCTCTAAATTCTAAATGAAATTTTCCTCTAAGTTTTAATCTAGAATGTCATAAACATATTGCCTGAATGTTGCTATTTTAAAAAAAAACTTTTAATATAAGCCAAATTAGAGAACAGTAATTCTACCAAGTGCGTGTTAATAGACAGGTCTTCTTGCTATTCTGTCTTCAAACTGGATCCAGTGGCAGAAGAGTGGGCATAGACTTTAATGGAGGTTAGGCTCTTGGACTTCTGCTTCTTAAGTATCACTTCTCACAGTGTGATTGTGAGTGAAGGTGAGTGTATAAGAAAGATCACAAGCTTGGGAACCAAGGAGATTTGGTTTTGACAATCTATTTGATCTTGAACAACTTATTTCTCTTTCCTGAACCTCATTTCCCCCTGACAGAATTATGCAGGTGAAGAATAGAGACAGAACATAAAAATCATGTGACACATGCCCTGCAAAAGGCATTAGTTGCAGAAAAATAAGAAGAGATGAATAAAGTTTAGTCTAATTTAAAGAAGCATCTACTTACCTTGGATTCCAGATGAGCAAGTAGAATTCTTAAAATTTTTATTACCTGGAAAGCATATCCAGATTTTTCATTCTGTCAAAGCCCACCCAGATTGGGGGCTGAAGATTTAGCTCAGCAGCACAGGGCCTGCCTGGCAAGCGTGAAGTCATGAGTTCGATTCCCGGTACCAGAAATCCACCCCCACAAAAAACAAAGTCCACCCTGATGCATAGCATATGCACACACATATGCACTTCCTCTCAAAGAGAGGTAAAGCTAAGACTCTCATCAGGAAACTACTGTGATTAAGCTTCATAATTAGGTAAGTATTAAAATGATATTTCAAATATTCACCCTACAGAATTAATCCAATGTCAACCTGTAAACTCTACAAAGCAGAATCTTTCAGTTGTCCAAATTAACCACGTGTAAACCTCAGTAACATTTCCAAGAGATAATGATTCTGAGCCACTTAATTTTCCATTAACATGCAAGAGTTAGTTAGCTGCAGACATATTCCCAGATCATTGAACACATAGACTAGGTACATTAGTAATTAGTATTACTGCTTTAATTTTAGGAGTATATCTTTATCAGAGAATGTTTCATTTTTCCTAATTAATATTGAGTCAGTCTTCCTGGCAGCAAGATCTAGGGTCATCTGTATGACAGTCATCAAACCAGATCATCAGAAAGTAGATGGGTACTTTCTGCTCTATGGATAAAGTGTGAAATTAGTTCCTAAAAAAATTTAATATATCAGTATATACATTAATTAAAGTACAACAAAATCAATCACTATTTTCCAGTGATATCTAAGTCATAATATATATCCTTTCTAGAAATAAGAATTGTAAATGGCAGCAAATCAAATTATATCACTATTTTTATACAAAACTAGTTTAATAGACTAATGTTTGTTATACTTAACTCAAAATTCTATCATTTCTCTATTGGTACAGAGGGTGATTTTCTCAAGATCTTTCTTGTTATATTCATATTCAATCAAATTGAATACATTTGATAAGGTTTTGTATCAGAATAAAGCATCACAAGAAAAACAAGCAAAGAACAAAGAGGACCACAGTTTTCAGACATTAAGATTATGCTTTATTTATTCTTTATACAAGTTTTTTGGTTTGGCTTCCCATCCATGTGTTAATCTAAAGTTAATCTCACTTCCCACCTTGTCTATCGACAGCACCACCCCTGTAAAACACTTAAGGAGAGCAAATGGTCCAAATATCCCAAGGGAAATCTTTTCCACTTTAATCCACATAGAGAAAAAAAATGTACATCGTGTGCTGGTGGCTCAGCAGCCTGTGAACTGTGTGTTGGTAAGCCCAGCCTTGTGGCAAGTAGCAGCAGTAATCATGCTTTGTACTGACGTAGTACGTTACTTCTATGGAGCTTGTAGGACATTATACGTCCCGCACCACTAATCTTCATAACATCCTTGTAGTTATGAGAGTAAGCCAAAATGAGGACTGTATTTTAACCTGAAAGATCATGAAATGGGAAAAATTAATAAACAAAGAGGCTGAACACAGCTGATCTTCTTCAGAGTATATGGAAATGTCACAGGGCCAGAACTCATTCCCCATCACATTACATGCACCATTTTCCATAAGTGAATCTTTCTTTCAATCTAGAGAGAGAGCCATGACTGAAAGCTGAAAAGAAGATTCAGTGACTAAGCAGCAGAGTGGAACCTCAGGGCCTCTGCATTTTCTTTTTAATTCTGTTCCTAATTTGTGATGTGACCCCATGAAACCTTTTGCCCTGTTTAAACCTCAATTGTTTTACTTACAAAATAGTATTGTATTAAACATGTTGCTCCACATCCTGGCTCTGGCTTCCAATACTCTGTCTTTTGTAGTTTTCTTTAGTTAATTTGTCCACCTATTCAGCAAATATACATTGATCATCTCCTATGTTTGAGGCACTGAGCCAGACACTTGGATCATCATAAAGAAGGAGGCATTAACTGAAACTTAACAAATAGGACTAAGAGCGCTTACAGGTAAAAAGGAATAACTTCATTACACATCAGTATATGCTAAACAACATTGAATGATGTAATGATACACAAAATTGATTATGATGGTTTGATTTGATAGGTGAGTACAGCAGAGAGCAGTGAAGGAGAAGTAAAACCTCACCCTTAGATCTACTTGTGTTACTTCCTAGCTCTCTGCAATATGGAAAAAATATCGGCAGAATTTCCAAGGTTATTGAAAAAATACAGTACAATAAAATAAAATGATTGTAGGGGAAATATTTGCAAATGTAAAGTTGCAGGTACTTTTTATTGCAACTGAAGAGATGATAAAATTTTTCCAGTAAATGATGTTCAGAATGGTCTGAGGCTGATGAGGAATACTTCAATAAGTAAAGAATATTCCTAACAGAAAGATTTCTAGAAGCTGAGGCACAGCACAGAAAACATTTAGACATAGTTAAGGACTCAAAAGACTGAAAATATAACAGCAAAAAATCCCTTCAGAAGGCATGGAATGGAAGAATTAAAAGAATGAAATAAACTAAATCAAGGAAATTATGAAGGATGAAGTTGTTAGCTTAAATATTCAGATGTTCCAAATGTTAACAAAATCTCAAGGAAGATGCTTGTTTATCTATAGCTAAAATGAACTGAAGATTCAACACAACAAATTAAAATGATTCTGAAAATTATTGTCCACTATTCAGAGAGTCCAGCACAGATACAGTGATGAAAGTGTCAAGGAGAAGAAAGTTCTGAACATGGTGCAGAAGTCATCAAAGTAGTGAGAAATGGGGATAAACACCAACATTGGTAGAAATAAGGCAGATAAAAGACTGGGAAAAGTTAAGTTACAATAAATTGAAAGTGATAGTAGAAAATGTTGAAGATATACAGGATTTCATAGTTTAATTATAGCCACATTTTGTTTATGAGTCTCCTAAAATGGCATTCTTCAGCAAGCGGTTCTAGTCCACTTCTTAATCTGGCAGCCTCAGAGTTTTGATCCAGGCCACGACTACGTACCATTCTCCATAGCTCAGACTTGGAATGAGGCAACTGACAGCCCATTTAAACTCCATGACCAGTGACCTCCCTGTCAACACATCTTTGCAATTTCACCTTTCTCTACTTTTTTTGCAATATCCACTCATGCAGATTGACTTTTTGAATAAAGTCAAAAGCAGCTTCAACCCCGGAAAAAATTTAGGGTTTCTAACCTGCAAAGATACAACTGTGTGCTTTTCTCTTGAAAAGTGTCACCGTGAAACTGGTTAGGCGTTCCTAATTTTAAAGTTCGTGTGTTCAATTAATTATCTTTCTATGTTGTATGAATATATTGGTGATTGAAAAATATCCTAATTAATAAATTCTGGGTCGATTCAGATTGGTAAGAATTCTTGTTTCCATTCTTCTGAAGTATGCCTTTCATTTGACTGTCACATATAAAAATTGTTGCTCACTAACGTTAATCAACATAAATTTTGCTTTTTGGATTCAAACTAGTGGAAAACTGATGTAATAATACAAAGACATTGAAAATATGTTTTTAGGGGCTGGGGATTTAGCTCAGCGGCAAAAAGCGCCTGCCTGGCAAGCGCAAGGTCGTGAGTTCGGTTCCCGGTACCGGAGAAAAAC